ATAGGTAAATAACAGGGATGGCCAGAGAAGCTTTTCATAAGAGAACAGTTTGGGGAAAAAAAAAAAACTAGGGAGAGGAAAAGGGAATTATGTACCCCTATTTCAGACACCTGCCTTAGGGGCTGTTGGCCTGTTATCTCATCACAGAACAGATAGATATAATCAACTGCTGTGCTACAAATGAGAGCTGTGCTTCAATACTATGACCAAAAAGTGTGAAATTTGGTCAGGCTATGAAAGTATAATATATTCATGAGATACAATATTCCAGCTCAATAAACAGTAATGCAACTCATCAGAAACCCAATTACTGATAATTATTGAAAGTGAAGGAAAAATAAACATGCTTTTCTTTTTAGCATATCAACTCTAATTCAGACAAGCATATACAGTGGATCATTACAAGAAAGTAACATATGAGAGCTCAGTGATGAAAATGAGGTACTATCAAAAGTCTCAATCAAACACAGAAAGTAGAGAGTCTTTGTATCTTCACTCAAGTGCATTTGTTTTGGCTCTGTAACAGTAGTGCTGCTTCTCATTTTACTGCTATCAGTTTAAGTGTGCTGACACTTCCAGAACAAAGACTGAAATGTATACCCATGGATTCAATAGATGTTTGCAAACACAGTATAGAAGACTCTGGGTTTAGGAAGATGGGGATGTAAGAAGAACTTGTATTTGTGAAAAAAAAAAAAAATTAACTCTTAAGTGGCTGCTTTAGAAATCAGTTAAAGACTAAGCATGAGTTAGCCCTAATTGGTCAAGCAATAATGGGCAGATTCATCAGAAGTGGGGTCATTAATAAAGTAAATCCACTGAGCGCAGTAAGAGTATGGAATGGTAAATCCCACCTCAGCATTTACTTTGATAACTAGCTACCTCTCTGGATGGTTTAAATGGCTGTGCATTTATGACTCCACAGTCTTTATCTTCACTTTCTTTGGGGGGGAAACCAGTAAAGTATGCATAGTTAACTGCCAACTTTCCTCCCAAGCAATATCAAATGCAACATATTGTTGTGGCACTGCATGTGGTGACAAAGATTTTTATTTTATTTTTTTTAAAAGAAGATGGGCAATAGTTAAATAACTAAAACACAACACAGAGCACCTCTTATTTAGGATGGGCCATCAATCTAGGTATGGATTGATGGCCGAAAAGCCGTCAAAAGCCGAAAGCACTGAAGTATGTGCATAACAGATGTAGCACCCTCCTGGAGTAGAGTGGGCTGCGAAGTAAATTTAGTTGGCTCCACTGTAATCCGAGGAGCAGGGGTTGATTAATTTGGGCTGCTCAGTGTCTCACAAGCTGTTGCTCTGTTACTTCCCTTTGTCTTTTAGTGGATTCTAAAATCACAGTAGATGGAACATTTCATGCAGTTTGAATATTTATGAGACTCTAGCCAATCCCTGGGGAGGTGTGCCCAGTTGGTGGTAACACAGCCCATAAATAGTTTGAGGCCTAAACAGCAGAGTGCAGAGTTCTTGGGTCCAGTCCTGCTGGGGGAGACCTCTGCGAAGGGAGGCTCTGCCCCAGGGCAGATTTCTGAGAAGCAGTTAGGAAGACACCAAGGTCCCAGCTAGGCTTATCTGGGCAGTCTATTTGCAAGCTTGAGTCTAGGGATCAAGTTGGGACTGGAGTCTGATAGGAGGACGTTGGTGGGAAAGAGTCCTGCTGTCCTAAGGTGGTGTTAGTCTACATCTCCCTCACTAGGAAGAGCCTGGACAACCATGATCCTGTGAGTAGGCGACCCCAGTGCCGAAGAGTTAGTGACTTTGTATAGCTTTTAAACTCTGGAAGGAGTACTAGTCACCATCAGCATAGAGATCCTGTGGGACATTCCTTTTTGTACTGTGCAGGTGGAAAGTTGAGGAGTCCTCAAATTACTCAGTTTTACAGTTTATTAGGGTATCCCATGACTGTTCTTCCTAGCAAGTGCATACAGTGTAAATCATGAGTAAAGTGGATGACAGGAACAAATATAACAGAAAGAAACTTACTCAGCGGTGGCCCACTCTAGAAGATCACTGGTGTCTCCAATAAGATGGTTTTTCTCAAAATCAGGATCACTGCACATAGCTGTAGGAGTGAGAGACTGAGGTGAAAGTGAATCAGTACTACCCGTAGGAGTGTCTTCTTTAGGAGAATTGTTGTTATCTGTTAAATGCAATACACAAAGCATGAAAAAAATCTGTTAAAGTGAGAAATATCAGAAAAAATATAATTGTAACTCGGAAACACAACATGGATAAGGCACAGAATCACCATTAACATGGGTGCAGAATACATGACAGACAAAATCTTTCATTATTTTTTTTTTCACAAGGCCTTAAAAGGAAACGTGTCAGGAGAAAAAAAAAACAGGGGTCACCAATGTCAAGTTCTCCACCTGAAAATATTTGTCATGCTGATGCTCTTGCTTCAATACTTTGGTTTTCTGAACTAGAACAAGTATGCAGAAAATTTATTTTGACTTTCTGATCAGCATAACATACTTTATATTTGTGCTCAAAGGTTTGCATACCTGTGGACAATTGGTAATAAAATGTACCATTTTTTAAGAAAACATGAGTGAGCAGGCAAAAGACATTTCTTTTATTTCTTATTGGATTCATATTCAACTGTAGGCCATAACATAATGGCTCAATCATAATACAAAAAACATGAGAACAAGTAATGAAATGACCCCTGTTCAAAAGTCTGCATTCCCTTAGTTCTTAATACAGTGCGTTACCCTCTTTAGCATCAATAACAGCATGCAGTCTTTTTTAATAGTGGTCTATGAGGCCCCGAATTCTTGTAGGTGGTAGAGCTGCCCATTCGTCTTTGCAAAATGCCTCCAGATCATGCAAAGTTTTTGGTTGTCTTGCATAAATTGCATGTCTGAGATCTCCCCAGAGTGGTTGCATGATATTAAGGTGTTACTAAACCCAGGATCCTGTATTCACTCTATCTGTTCCCCCACAGTACACACTACATGGGAATGCAATTATTTTAGTAAATATAAACTGCTAAATACCTTTTCTCATCAGTAGTTAAAGCAGTCTTGTGACTTCTATCAGTGTCCAGCAGAGCACTGGATAAAGCTTGTAGGAGGAGTTTTCTTTCTGATTTAGGAGGATGCAAACCCCCCGACTGTCTTGACAGTGCTGACTGGTGCTGTGCTGATCACATGCACTCTCCCAAGAAAAAAAGAAAAACCTCTCTAGGGATACACACCAAACTGAGCATGTGCAGTGTGTCTCACACGCTATGTCTTATCAGGAGATAAGAGGGGTACACTGGAAGAAGAAGGGGATCAGAGAAGTCAGGATCAAACAGCATTTTTGCACAATACAGAGGATTAACTCCTTAGGTTCCACAGTGAGTATAACAAGCATGCTTTACTGCATATACAGGCTGATTTTACTGTTGTGGGTTTAATAACACTTTAAGGTCAGGAGACTGATGGCCACTCCAAAACCTTCATTTTCTGCTGCTGTAACCACTGGAGAGTCAATTTGGCCTTGTGTTTAGGGTTACTGTCGTGCTGGAAAGTCTAAGAGAGTTTCATGTGCAGAAGAATGCAAAGTGTCTGCCAGTATTTTCTGATAACATGCTGCATTCATCTTGCCATGAACTTTCACAAGATTCCCCATGCTCACCCCCCCCCCCCCCCCCCCAAAACATCAGTGAGCCACCACCATGTTTCACAGTGGAGATGGTATTCTTGTCGCTATAGGCATTGTTGACCCTTCTCCAAACATAGAGCTTACGGTTGTGACCATAAAGCTCTTTTTTTGGTCTTGTCACTCCAGCGAATAGCTGTGAGGTGTGTCAAGGTGTTGTCGGGCATATTGTACCCAGGCTTTTTTGTGGCATTGGCGCAGTAAAGGCTTTTTTTTAGCAATTCGACCATGTAGCTCATTAAGTATCGTCATATTGTGTTCCTTGAAACAACCACACTGTCTTTTTCCACAACAGCCTGTATTTTTCCTGTGGTTACCTGTGGGTTTTTCTTTGTATCTTCTGGCAGTTGTGGCTGCAATCTTTGTTGTTCTACCTGACCTTGGCTTGGTATCAAGAGATCCCATTTTCCACTTCTTAAAGGATTGAACAGTTCTGGCTGGGATATTCAAGGCTTTGGATATCTTTTTATATCCTTTTCCATCCTTATAAAGTTTCATTACCTTGTTATACAGGTCTTTTGACATTTTATTCTGTTCCCCATCTCTTAATATCTAACCTTCTCAGTGCATCCATGTGAGAGCTAGCAAACTCAATAACTATTTATACACAGACTCTAATTGCAATTTAAAAAGCAACAGATGTGAGAATTGAACCTTTGTCTTTTTAACCTGTGTGTGTCTGTACCGAGGCCAAACATTCCAGGGTATATAAACCTTGGATCAGAGCCATTTGGGTGATGTTATGATTTAAAAAGGAGTCACACATTTATGTGATAATACATGGCTTTATATGATCACAATTTTTAAAAAAAAAGACAGTTTTGGGCATGATCAGTCATATTTTCAATATCAACAGCTTACTTGCTGCCCTATAGCAGATATACTGCTACGGGGCAGCCACTCTGCGCAAAATCACGTAAATATACGCAATTTCGCATTTCTGGGTAGGGGGGCGTGCCACCCTACCTACGCTGCCATTGGTTGCAGTGGATGTCAATCACCGAGTCCCGGCCAGCCATTCTAGGCCGGCACTCGGTGATCATTGCTAAAGCTGGGAGGGGAGAGAGAGAAAGCAGCATGTCTCCTTAGTAAAACAGCACATAGCATAAGCACAACACACAGTTAACCCTTTGATCGCCCCAGATGTTAATCCCGTCCTGCCCAGTGTCAGTGTTTTTTATTAGCACTGATCACTGTATTAGTGTCACTGTAGATGTCAGTGGCTGTTAGTTCCAGTGTCAGAATGCCAGCAGCAGTCCCGCTATAAGTCGCTGATCACCACCATGACTAGTATAAAAAAAAAATAATAAATATTCCAGTATATATACTGTAGATGCTATAACTTTCATGTAAACCATTTACCGTATTTTTCGTTCCATAAGACGCACCTGACCATAAGACGCGCCTAGGTTTTAGAGGAGAAAAACAAGAAAAAAAAATATTCTGAACTGCAGACACAGTACAGGGGACAGGGGATGACCAGAGACTGCGGACACAGTACAGGGGATGACCAGAGACTGCGGACACAGTACAGGGGATGACCAGAGACTGCGGACACAGTACAGGGGATGACCAGAGACTGCGGACACAGTACAGGGGATGACCAGAGACTGCGGACACAGTACAGGGGATGACCAGAGACTGCGGACACAGTACAGGGGATGACCAGAGACTGCGGACACAGTACAGGGGATGACCAGAGACTGCGGACACAGTACAGGGGATGACCAGAGACTGCGGACACAGTACAGGGGATGACCAGAGACTGCGGACACAGGGGATGACAGGGGGGATGACCAGAGACTGCGGACACAGTACAGGGGATGACCAGAGACTGCGGACACAGTACAGGGATGACCAGAGACTGCGGACACAGTACAGATGCGAGACTACAGTACAGGGATGACCAGAGACTGCGGACACAGTACAGGGGATGACCAGAGACTGCGGACACAGTACAGGGGATGACCAGAGACTGTGGACATAGTACAGATGACCAGAGACTGCAGACAGTTCAGGGGATGACCAGAGACTGAAGACAGTAAAGGAGATTACCAGAGACTGCGGAACTTTGGGGAGGGAGGGGGAACGGGTACCTGAATTTGACAGCTACCCGCTCCCACGGAGTTGTCCTTCCTTCTTCCCATGGCGGCTTCTGTGATAGCGGGGTGCCCACTGCGCATGTGCGAGAAGCACTGCGCTTTGTGAATGGCCCGGAGCCTTCTGGGACCCGTCATGTGTCCCAGAAGACACCGGACCATTCACAAAGTGCAGCGCTTCTCGCGCATGCGCAGTGGGCACCTGGCTGTCACAGAAGCTGCCGCGAGAAGACTGCAGCGCTGGAGCGAGGAACAGGTAAGGTCCTGCAGGAGAGAAGAGCTAAGCAGCCGGCCTGATATTCTGACATGGTGGCGGCAGAAATACCGGACTGGCCGCTTTACATTCGCTCCATAAGACGCACTGACATTTTCCCCCCTTTTTTTGGGGGAAAAAAGTGCGTCTTATGGAGCGAAAAATACGGTAATTTACACATATTGGGATTTTTTGTTTTTAGCAAAGACATGTAGCAGAATACATTTTGGCCTAAAATTATGAAGAAATTTTTTTTGTATTGGATGTTTTATAGAAAAAATGTCAAAAATAGTGTTCTTTCAAAAACACAGGTTTTTTTTTTGTTTATAGCGCAAAAAATAACGCAGAGATGATCAAATACCACTGAAATAAAGCTTTATTTGTGTGAAAAAATGACAAATTTCATTTATGTACAATGTTGAATGACCGCGCAATTATCAGTTATAGTAACGCAGCTCCATAATGAAATAATTTCTACCAGATTTGTATTTCTGCTTGCGCCAATGCGCAAAACATTGATTTCTATGCTTTTCAAGTAAGCACTTCATGCTACAAAGCAATTCATAGTCTTTAGAACGAAGTAAAGAAAAAAAAATCTAAAATATTAGTAAAAAATACCTTAATTTACTAAAAACTCAAATAACCCTGCAGTACCACAATATATATTGTGCATTCACACCAGTGTGCAGACACGTCAGTTTTTCTTCATGAGTTCTACAAGGGCACAACAAAATCAATTGTTCTTAATGTGCCTTGTTCAAACCACAAAACTGTATCACATGCAGATTTTCTGCGCAGGAATCTGCAATGTGTATAAAACTCATTGAAACGCGCATAAAAAGTGAAGTAAACTGATGTCTCTGCAAGTGAAAACGTCAGTTTCCATCAGTTTTCATGCATGTATGGTGTGAATGAGCCCTTAAGGTTTTATCAATAATAATAAATCAATGTACAAATAATATTTAGCATCATTAATCAATGCGCACTATATAAAACTTTTATACTGGTGGTTGTGGGAACAAAACCAATGCACACATATACATAGCGTGTAAGTGCGTCTACATAAACAGCATATGATAGATTTTTTGGCTGTTAGTTTATGCGTCCACTAAATACTGTACTTTAAAAGATGGCAACTGAAATTCTTTTTATTGAGTATATGAAGACCAAGTAAAACAAGTGTGCTGGAATCAAAGCAAAAAGTTATTCAGGAGGACTTGAGCAACTTAAAATTTCTAAATAATAAGGGCAGCCAAAAAAATTTTAGAATGAGGTCAGCTAGTGAAAACAATTCATTTTCTGCAGCAGAGGGAAAAAGTCAGTTTGTGCCAGGGCTTCATTAATCATAGTGAAAACTTCCAAATGATACAGAAGTGAAAGTAGAACATTTTAAAAATACAAAACCTTTAAGGGAGCCAATTTACAGGTGCTTAAATATTGTTTAAAAAAACATGTTAACATTGCTATAACAAAGTCCAATGCTTCTTAATAACATACGTACACGAAGCAAAGCTAAAAATACATTTTTAAACAGACTCTGCAAAAGTTAAATTAACTTTTGTTTCAGTTCGAACAATCTTTTTTTTTTTTTTAGGCTTCAGTTTGTATGGTTTTCTTTGGGAACAAAAGCAGTCATATTCAATTAAAGATTGTCAAGTGCTGAAGCATTCATAACAGGCCACCAGCGCTTTGCAAGTGCCTGCACCCCAGGGCAAAGACACCTAACCCAGTTAACAAGTTTCCCTATGCAAAGGTGAAACCTGTCTTCTTTACTACAATGGCTAACACAGTAATCTTCATACTTGGCATATTTTCTACCTTGATTTGGCATGCAATAATGACTCACAGTCATAAATAAATTCCTCCCAAACCTGTCTTCCAACTCACATTTGGTAGATTTTACTTTTATTCGGAGTACCATTCACAAGCATTAAGTCTACTGTGTACTGCACCATGTTTCACTAAACATCATCAAATTAAATGTAATGTAAAAAAATGGACAGCGTTTCTCCATATTAAATGGTATACAGTGGGGATGTTGGGTTTGAGTACAGAACATCCTAAGCATGAGTGGTCACATACAGGAACAGACAATGTTTCCTAAACAAAAACAGTTGTAATTCTGAATTTTTGTCACATGGCCATTTTGAAATGAATACTTGCCTGGCTGACATGTTCACCAACTTGCTTTCCAGACATGTAATAACATCCGCCCTGACAGAATACATAGTGGACTTTGTGCAAACTAGAAGTTGGGGCTTGAAATGTAGTTATTTCAGGTATTTATATAGCACCAACATACTGCACATTGACATCATCAGTCCCTGCCCTCAAGGAGCTTATATTCTAAGGCAGTCTTTCTCAACCAGGGTGCCCAGACACCCTAGAGTGCCTTGAGGTTTCTTCAGGGGTGTCTTGGCAGAATGTCTAAAAATGTACCAAAACTTGCATACAAGCCAGCAGGTGGAACAAGCCTGCCTTTTAGTTACACAAAGCCACAGGTTTTCATTGTGCACCATTATGACCTTCTAGCCACCAGGCATGCTGACAACCAATGACGTCATCAGTTGTTAAGGAGGATGTCAGCTGCCTGCACAGCATCATCGTTTGACCCTCCCCTGCCCCTCTCCATCAGTGCTGGGGTCACATTAGTCAGTAATGGAAAAAAACTGAGGGAGAAGAGAAACACTGGAATACTACTCAGTACCAGTGTGCAAAAGTGTATTTGCTTTGGAAGAATAAATCACCTGTAATGTTGGGTGTCCTACATGTGTGTATGTGATGCGTTATATAAAACTATTAGAATAGTTTTACACATTTTAGAATGGGGTGCCCTTTTAAAATGGACAGTCTTGAGGCATCCCATTTTAGAATGCGATGCCTCAAGACTGTCCATAATTTTAAAGGGTGCCTTGGGACTGTCCATACTGTTAAAGGGTGCCTTGACTAAAAAAAGGTTGAGAAACACTGTTCTAAGGTCCTTATCTCGCATGCATGCCTACACTGCTCTGTGGTACAGTGTGCACATTGGAAACTAACACCAGGTGCAATAAAAGTGAGGACAAAAAAGTGCCACTTGCTCCTCTTCCAAGAAGAAAGTATCCTGGACCAGATCCCTCAGGGCACAAAACTCCTGACAGGGACTGGGGTACTGAATCCAGGATGACCCCATTCTTCAGGGAACCTGCCAAGGCAAGGTTCAACCAAGTACAAAGGGAAACCCCATGAGAGGGGGAGGACCTGACCATAATACCACGTGCCTTCCACCCAAGATTTTCATGGCAAGTCCATGGATCTACACCTTATTAGTCGGAGGTGAATTACAGTGCATAGTACTATGCAAAAAGTACAAAAATAAAAAACAGATAAAAGGGATAGGAGTAAGTGCGTAAGTACTTACATTTCTCCATTACCAGCCAAAAGGCCCAGCCCAGGAGGCAGGCACGAATAAAAGTGCACAATGTGTGCTGTGACCAAGGTGCCATACTAAAAACGTAGTGATTTACCCCGCTGTGAAATTTTTTTGGCACCCATGGACTGCAAATCTAGGGGCACAAGCAACATGGGCTTCATATACTAGGAACAATTTACACAGGGTCCAATTATCCTACTAGCAGGTCTTTGGAGTGTGGGAGGAAACCCATGCAAGCACAATGAGAAAATAACTGAATTGTACTCTCGGCAATGCACGCCCTTTACTTTATACTTAGAGAACTTCAGTGAAGTTTTATAAATTGTTTGGACCAAGCTGATCCAAAGTAACCATTTACTTCCCTAACAGATGCAGCAGCTGTGATCACTGTAAAAACTATATGTAGCCTCAGCTATATACAGTGCTGTGTTCTGGCAGTAATATGGGAACTTCCCTTCCCACTCCCAGAACAAAATTGAGTCAGGCTGAGTACTGCTCAGTCAATCACAGAGTGCTTTGCATTCTAGGAATGAATAAAAGGCTTCTTCTTATTGGTGGAGGTTGAGATTGTGATGCCATTTGCCTCCCTCTCTTTCTAAAGACAAACAAATACAGAGTTTAGTCGAAATTCATTTTGTTCCAGGAGCGGGGTGGGAAGTTCCTTTACAGTGCTGTACACTGTATGTAACTGAGGCTACAGTTTATACAGTGATCACACCCGTTGCATCTGTTAGTAAATGAAATAGTTTTGACCAGCTTGGTCCATAGGAACTACTTAAAGTTCACTAAAACCTGAATGTCAGGGCTCCCAGGTGTGACCAGAGGTGTGTGACTGACGCAGGGAAACGCAGACTTCAGATATGTGATAAACAATATAATTTATTAACACTAACAATACAAACAAACGCAGTGCAATACTAAACATAATACAGTGCAAACAAACCAAACCACCCACAGATAACAGTACATACAAGCAAGCGTCGTCAGGCAGGCCGGGTCAATATCAATTGGGCAGGTAGGTACAGGGGGAGCAAGCGGAGATTGGTCGGGGTCACAGGCCAGGTTCAACAGGTAGCTAGCAGCGTAGTACAGAGGGTCAGGCAGAGGGATGGTCAGGGTCACAAGCCAGGGATCATAACAGGTAGCAGGCAGCGTAGTACAGAGGGTCAGGCAGAGGGATGGTCAGACAAGCCAGGGATCAGAACAGGTAGCAGAGAATCAGACAGGAACAGAGAGCAGGAACAGGATACAGGGCCCAAGAGAAACACAACACCAAGGCAGAGTCTGCAAGTCTGGCCATCCCT